TGGAATGCATTCTACTAAGTGAAGTATCCCAAGAATGGAAAAACAAGCACCACATGTACTCACCATCCAATTGGTATTAACTGATCAACACATAAGTGTACATATAAGAATAAAATCTATTGGATGTCGGGCAGGGGGGAGAGGGAAGGGGAGAGGGGGGTGGCGGAGGAGGGGACGGGTATATGCATACTCAAAGAGTGCAATGCGCACCATCCGAGAGATGGACACTCTTGAAACTGGGACTTGGGGGGAAGGGGGGGCAAGGGCAACATACGTAATCTAAACATCTGTACCCCTATAATATGCTGAAATAAAAAAAAAAAACAAGCAGGTGAGGGAGATTCTTGTTGCTTTTTAACTTGTTAAGACAGCTTGAAATCACACTAATGCTCACTTCTGAGGCTGCTCTTAAACTTTGTTCCTTTAAGGAACATGGCAGTAAAGATGGGATGGCCTGTAGTATTATATGGCTTCTACTGGCCTACTTGCAGTTGCCAATGGTCTAACCCCGGGAGCCTCTGCAAGCAAAGGAAAGCCTTCTTCCCCTAACAGTCCACCTCTCAGACTCCAACCTTAACCCCAACTGGTACTAAAATCCCCAATGCATATTTGTGTTTTCTGGTATAACAAATATTGCTTTGGTTGGTATTTGGTATTTTTATTTTATAACCTTTATCCTTATGTCTCCAATATTTTTCTCTGATTCTAGCAAGAAAGTTTCTCACTAGGACATGAGACCTTGGAATGTATGTTCTTATTATAATTCTTGTTAGAAACAGTTTTATATGAACTATCTTTAACGTGAAATCGAAAATGAATTAATTCTAGGCTTCACACCCAACATCTATATTTTCAGTAAGCAAATGAATATTTTAAAAGAATATTTCTAATTACCTTCTCTGTGTAATAGTCATTATATTGCTTAAACTAATAACAGATTGTTCATCCTGAAGTGGTGAAGCAACAAAATAATCCCAAACTGGTGAGAAAACTTTCTTAGCCAATTCATAGTTACCAAGCTGATAGGCAACCTACAACAAAAAGCATGTTAAGGAATATTTTTGTTTATGAAATGTATATTTTAAGCATGAATTCTTATAAGGTCCTATCAGACACTAATTTCATATACAGTTGTTCACATTTGCTTTTCAGTTCTACGGTGCCATAGTAATGTGACGCAGACCGCTGGCAAGGGAGACAGACACATTTTCAAAATCTCTTTTATTTCTAAATTGCATGGAAATTTGAAACTCTGTAAGGATGTTTCAAATCCTCATAAGCAAAACAAAGATCACATCTGAGCCAAATTAATTTCATTTCCATCTATCTCGGCAGTGCACTCCATTTATTATAGATACTGTTATAATGAACAATCTGTTCCAAGAGAAACAATCAGATTTCCCAAACCCAATATATGAAATATACCTCATTCTTTTCTGGTTCTGACTGACACTTTCAGAGCTTTTGTGCAATAAAAAGTTCACAGCTGAAAAGAGTAAAATATAAAACAGAGAAGCTTTCTGAGAAGCCACGATATCTTTTAAGTTTAACAAATTTAACAGAACACAAAATAAATGATTTCACTAGTAAAGCTCAGGAGAAAAAAACTCATAAGCTTACTTATTTCTTTTGGTAGAGTACATTTCTTTAAAGAAGTTCCTAAAATTCATTCTATTTAACTATGTATATAACAACACAAAATCTCACCAAATCCTTCAAATCCTTTATGGAAGCAGGTAGGGTATAAACTATAAATAAATTCATGGAATTAAGCATGTAAATGATATGTTACTAGAATATTTTTTACGCAAGGGAATAACTTACAGGGCCAAAACTTTTCAAATCTGCAAAATGGATACTTAAGATCAATCGACCAGTAAGCTTTATGAAGTTTCTCCTCAGTGCTAAGCACAGTAGAGAAAGATTCTTCAAAGCTTAGAGGTGGTCCAATACTCCATGAAACTGGAATCAAGTTAAAGGCATAAAACACATGAAATCCAGAAAAACTACAAAGAATAACATCATAATTGTGGAGGCTTTAGAAAAGGAAAAATGAAAATTTTAAGGAGAAGGCAGGGCTTGAGTTGAACTCTTAAGATTAAGGTCGGCCCAAGTTTAAACAGAATCTGAAAAAGGTCCAAGAGTGGAAATCACCAAAGTGTGTTTATAGCCAAAATTGAAAGTTACATAAAAATTTAGGAACTGCCATTTTTCCTCCAAAAATGGGGAAGTAAAGAAAGCCTATTGTTAGAGAGGAAACAAACAAAGTAAATGTACAGAGAGAACCAAGAGTGCGAGACCTCAAGCTGCCTGGACTCTGCAGCCCTCCCAGGGCCTAGCTGCATTACTCCAAGCCACGCTGGTCCCACTACCTGCAATCAGAATCTTAACTGTAACCATAAGTCAAAATTATCTAAACTAGTTTACTGTTGTGGTAATAAGATTGATAAAAAAGACATTTCAAAGTTAGAAGAGATGACATCTAGCATAGAATCTGGCACAAAATAGACATTGAATAAATAATTCATCTATAAATAGATGAGTGGAGAGAGTGATAATACTCAGAAGACAAGAGGGAAAGAAAGAAAGAGCTTAAGAAAAGGGATGACTATCTTTTACCTGTAATTATTAATATTTTATAATGTGAATAATCATAGAGAAAAGGCAAACTTTTATTAATCAAAGAGTTTTATTGAATTCATATATGAAATGGGAAAAATGTGTGAACTTCACTTCCCTTTCACCCACCACCATTGTGATTGCTGACTTGCCTATACTGATCACAAAGACTGGCTGATCAACACCAATCCAGGGGAGAACTAAAAAAAAAATGATCGAGAAAGAGAGGAAACCAGTAAAGGGGAAGAGAAAGGAGCTAAATAAAAGACAGGGAGCAAAGCGCCAGTTAAAAAGAAACAAGAGAGATGAAGGCTCTAAAAGGATTGGCACATGTTAGGTGTCCAACATACGACGACTTCCTGGGACCTGCACAGAGCGGTAGAAAGGAATGAACTGGTCCAAGTGTCAGGCTCACCATCTGCCACCCGAGTAACCTTGGGTACATTACTTACTCTCCCTGAGACAGCCTTGCTGGGATATGATGGGATTGGCAGATTAAATTAATTTCAGTTTCTTCAACTATAAAATGAAAGTAATCATACCACCTCATAGAATTATTGTAATAAATGGAATAATGAATTTTAAATGCCTGGCACATGGTGGTTTTTTAATAAATTATATTTGCCATTTCCTTATCTCCACAAGCCATTGTGTCCACTAACTATTTGATTTGGTGGTTCAATAATCCAATAGAATATGGCATTTGGTCTTATGTCCATTTTACAGTTAGGGAAATTGAGACTAATCAATTTGCTTGAAATCCTAATCTCTAAGGTCAAGATTAGAATCTTACTCACAGATTTCTAGTTTTCAACATTTATTTCACATTATCTAGCCATTTTTTACTTAAGAAGAAGAAAAAAAAGAAACGAGGCCAAAAAAGAAGAGAAAAATAGCTATAGAAGATATATAATTCAGAAAAGTTGCTCAAAAACAAATTTCCAGATAGACTAAATTAATATCCTACATTTAGGAAAACTTAGTAAAGACTCACTTGACTTTACAAATGTCTATAGGATAATGCTGAGTAAAACCTAAAATTCCAAAAGCCAAGTTAATCATAGGCACTTAGTGAAATATCTCCATACTTTACTGTAAAATATTATAATAATATGTTTCAAAGAACAGAATTGTCCTGAAACTAAAAACTAACCACTCTCATGAAAATTAGATTGCACTTACAAAATAAAGGTGCATTAACTTGCTAAAATTTAAAAGCTTAAACTTAAGTTGTAAATTAAGGAAGTTTAAATAAGTGAGAAAGTTTTGTTTTAGCCACTTAACATTATGAGAGAGAATGCTCATAAATGAACTACAGAACTGCAAATATAGTATCAATAAAGAAACACGGGTCATTACTTCATGACACTTCTCATTATCCCAGCAGTATAGCTTGGACTTAGTTTTATTAACTTTCAATGAAAGTTCTGCCAAATGGAGCCCAAGAGTCAAACCACTCCCTGGAGAAAAATTAGGCCTGAATGAAATATTCAGTTCCTCACAATAACTCTATCACTGCAAATTAGGGAATATATTAGATTCCAAAGACATCAAAATATCAGAAAACCATGAGCCAATATGACATGCTAAACCAATGCTAGACAAATCCTAGCAATTTTCTCAATTTAATTTTCTTTGAAAAATATGATAATATAAAATGCCACTAAGATTCTAGCTTATAATATTAATCAACTATTAAGAGAAAAATTAACATAATAAGAATATGATAAAAATGGAGAATAGCCATCAGCTCTACAGCCAACAATCGGCTTAAAATTAGATGCTTAAGACCTAGGTCAATGAGTGACTCTTTCTAGTGTCTGCTTTACAGGTGACGTGTTTTAAAGTCAGGCAATAGCTATTTCAGGAAAAATGTTAATTCATGCATATATGCATAACTAAAAATAATAATACTATTTATTCAGTGTCTACTGTGTGATAAGTGCTATAGTGAAATATCTGACATGCCTAATTCCATTTAATACTCATGAAACTTTTGGTAGGCAGTTACTATTATTAATACCACTTCACAGATGAAAATTACTTGTCCAGTATCACATGGCTAGTGTGAGGACCTAGAGTTTCAACTAAGGTCTGTCTGTCCCTATTTACCCAGAAATTTCACTTCTATGAATGTATCCTCAGAAAGTAATCATGGGTACAGGTGAAGATTGAGATATTAAGGTGTATATCATGGCTTTGTTTATAATAGCAAAAGACTAGAAAGTATCTGAATGTCCAACAATGGAGAATTATTAAATAAACTATGATATATCCATAAGATTCAATGCCATAGAGCCATTAAAAATTATGTTTTGGAAGAATACTTAACAGAATGGAAAAATGTCAATTATATATTAAATAAAAATATCAGGCTGTAAAATAATAGGTATACTATGTTTAAAGTTATATATTATACACAAATTCATATACATATGTGTGCATGTATACATAAGTATATATACATACATAAGTGTATATATCTAGACAGATGGATAGGCAAATAGACACATCAAAAATAAAAGGATATCTCTGGATCAGGGTTTCTGAACCTTGGCACTATTGACATTTTATACTGGATAATTCTTTGATATGGGGGGTTAGCTGGTACATTGTAGGGTGTTTATCAGCATCCCTGGCCTATACCCACTAGATGCCAGTAGCACCCTGCTAGGTTATGACAACAAAAAATTTCTTCAGTTACTGACAAAATTATCCCAGGGTAAGAACTACTATGCTGGATGATAGAAAAATGGATAACATTATTTTCTTCTTTATGCATTTCAATATTTTCCAAAATTTCTAAAATTATTATGTGTTACATTTGTAATCCATAAAAAATATCATTGTAAAAAATTCACTAATAAGAGAATGAATAATTCATATTTTAAGACTAAACTGTAATAATGGAAAATATGTATTACAGGAGCTTTAGAATATCTGCAGCAATTTTTTTTCCCATCAGAAATTACCTAGTAACTGCTTAACGGAAAACAACACAGTGGAAAAAATTAGTAGAAATCTCTTCTACCTGTGTCAGGAACATCCGAGCAGTAACAGCAGAAAGAGGTGGGTAAATCAGAATTGGTTTAGTTGTTTCCCCAATAGCACCACCGACAAGTTTTCCATCAGAAGAATAGGCAGCAACTGCAAATACGTATTTTTCATTGGTTTCTAAACCTTTCACTTCAAAAATGCTTTTACCATCAGCTGGTATCTATTAACAAAATATATTTCAAGTTAAACTTGGAAACTTAAAATAATGTGACTTAAATATAATTAAGCAAACTTTGTATGTAATGTCTTTTCTTTCACTATTGTGACTCAAGTTGAATCAGGGAAATTAACTAAAACAATGACTTCATAAGAAAAAAAAAAACATTTAATTGTCATTACCGAGGCTTTGCTAAAATTTCCTGACATTTAAGTCAACATACCGCTTCTCCTGAATTTGGGAGATGATTATTGTTTAGTCGTACTTTTCCATAACTTCCTTCTGCTTTACAACCCAAAATGCAGTACCAGGAGACCTGCCAAGGAAAAAGATGAGCCCATCACCTGTAGTCTGTTTAAAAGGCATTCTATTCTTTTTACCTCAATGTAGCAAAGGAATACTTTTCTAGGCCAGGCACAATGGCTCACACCTGTAATCTCAGTACTTTGGGAAGCTGAGGTGGGAAGATTGCTTGAGCCCAGGAGTTTGAGCCCCTGGGCCTCATTGCAAGATCCCAAGACCCCTTTTTTAATTTTAAGAAAGGAATATTTTTCTAAATAAAACTGTAAAAATTCAAGTTTTAAAACATGAAATCCAAGTTTACAAATATATTTTGGTTTAATCCAAAATATTATTTGTTTTATACTAAAATATTAATTATTTTAACTACTATTAACTAAGCAGTTCCTCTGTGCTAAATATTGTTAGGAATTTACAGATACTTTCTAGTATTCACAACATCCCTATGAGATGGGATTACTGTTGTCATTTTGCTCCACAGGAAATGGAGATGCAGAGATATTAAAGAACTTTGCCCAAGATCAGACAGATAGTGGCAGGGGTTGACTTAATCTTGATGGGAAAAAAGATCAACACCGAAATGATTTTCATATTTTTGTAATATGCCAAAAAGCAAGTGGAAAAAAGAAGCAAGATACTAACTTGTAGTATTTTAAATAAAATGTAAAAATACATATGAAAAAGTCTGGAAGAAAATGCTCCTAAATAAGAACAGTGGTGGGGTTCAGATGGTAAAATGATGATAGGTAGATGATATGTAATTTTTTTCTCCAGTTTATAAATTTTCTGAAACATAATACTTTGACAATTTTTAAATATAAACCAAACATAAAATGCAAATCCCACAGAAACAACCAAACTTAAAGTTAATTAAATAGTTAGACAATGGTCCTCTACCAAGATGTCAAAATAATGGAGATTCATTATGAGAATCTGTTCTCACTGTAAGGGAAAAGGGAGAGAGTTGATCCCCAAGGAAGCAGCTTTATCAACAAGCCACACTGTTGGGGTTGTGGGTGGTCATCACTGTGGCACTTCCTTTTTCCCAGAGGCAACTCCCAAACTATCAGGGAAGCTGGAAAGAAGGGAAAATATAATTGTCTCTAAAAAGCAACGGCCTCTTACAGCTTCTGCCTACTACTCCTCCCTCCAGGTTCCTCCAGGTCAACAGAAAAATCCTTAGAGTGTCTAACCTACATGAGTGGCTCTCAACCCCGCCTTTGCTCCAAGAATCACTTCTTTAAAATACAGTTTGTACAGAATCAACCATTTTCTTAAGTTACAAATCCCAAGCCTGCCTAGCTTCAGTGAATTAGAATTTCTGGTGCAAGTATCTGAACCTTTGTAGTGCCAAAGAAAATATCTCAGGTGATTGTGATATACACAACTGACCAAACAGCGCTAGTCAAAGGCAAGAAGGACAGGGAGAACACTGAAGGAACCTGGAAGCTGGAGGCCAGAGGGAAACATCAGATGAATCTCAGAAAAAAATTCAAAGCTAACTTCCCGTAATTTCCCATGCAAAAAGAGTACCATTTTTCATAGGGAAAAAAAAAAGGCAAATAGAATATGTTGTATGACTCGGATCATTATTGCTCCAAGTTCTAATATATAAACCCAGAATTTTGAGGGTAAAATTATCTCTAAAAGCATTTTTACCAGCGGACTTTATATTTTGATTTCGTTCTACAGATAAAAATGTCTCAGTTTGGATGACTCTAAGAAGCAATGTGTAATTAGAATCTGCAAAAGAGTAGGAACACCACGAACACATCACTATCAACTTTAGAAGAGTTTATATAAAATGTAAATAACATCAGCATTTTCAATTATAAAAACAGATTTTAATGAAATGAATGTCTTAATAAGAGCTTTTGATAAGACAAAAGATGGCTGAAACCTTAAATAAGGAAACTTCTTCAATCCCATAGCACCATCTAGTGCTGATAAGTCAGTAACACAAGGTGATGATTTCCTGGAACTCTCCTAATGTGTAACATAACCAATGCATAATAAAAATTAATATAACGTGCTACTTAATAAGTCCTAAAACTACAGGTCAGATATTGAACACTTATGTCTTCCAATTGCCAAGAATTATGAAATAAAATAGTCACCAAATTGAAATACATAAAAAGTAAGATTTTGGTTAAATAAACCAAAATATTTGAATAAAAACAAACAAAAACTCTTAGTAAATAATCCAATCTTAGTTCTGTACTAATTTTCCAAAATAAGTGAAGCTCTTTTCTTAAGCAGATTCAAAAAAATCCAAAGTTGAACTTTACAATTGCCAGCAATAGCAATAACACATTTATTACAACACAGGGGTAAGATGAATGTTACTTCTATTCTCCCAATGATAGAGCATCATGAAAGTGGTATTACTTCTCATTGGTGCTCATGTCCCATTCTTCTGAAGTTCCTCAAAGAATGGAACCATGTTTTATCTTTATACCTTAATAACTTTGCACAGAGCTTGACAAATTATACTCAATAAATGCTCGCTGGACAGACATTATAAAAAAATATCAAATAACATATTCACAGTCTATAACTTGATTACCTTGTTGAATAAATTTTACTACGTATGTTTAATACAAGGAGTGGAGAGACATCAGTTCATACGCCAAAAATATTGTATACATCATCTCATTTAATTTTCACAGTAAACAGAGTTTACAAATGAAAAGGGAAAAAAAACCTCTCAGAAAATGTATTTAGCCTTCCTAAGGTCATAATGTTAGTAAAAGGTCAAGCTAGAATTTTAAGCCTCAATCTATCTGACTTCAAAGCCTGTGTTCCTTCCACTATACTAGATTCATGTAAATTCAAGCATAACATCCTAAAGAGAATCAAAGATGAAACTTCATTTTTATATAACATCAAAGAGCATGGTGTTGAAAACCTAAAAGAAGAAAATGTAATATTTAAAATATAAATTAGGTGGAGACAAATTCTTGTGAGGAAATGAAATCTCAAGTTTTAGTCACATTGAGGCCATGTTCTAAGGCATCAGGAATGGGAGAAAAAGCTTATCATTTAATAAATACACAAAGATTTATGATTTATAATATGGTTGGAATTGCCCTTTGTTTCAACGAAAAGAATCCACATCTACATGGAAGAATTTTTGGCAGAACCTCTAGATTCATCACCTCCAAATTTCCACACTCTGTTGCCTCATCTTTGTTGTGGCCCTGAGAATAACTTCTATCCTCTTCAAATGTCCAATCCACTTCAAGGGAGGACATCTTGAGCACACTAGGACTTCGGCATGTGACTGTGTCATGGTGACAAAGATACTTACAGGGAAATGCTTCTCTATTGTTCCTCCTGACCATACATTTGGTAGCAATTCTATACAGAGCACACCATAAATAGCATAAAGGGCAAAATGTCATGAAGAAACTAACTATAGGTAAGACATTAGAATACTAATCCAGTGTTCAGTGCTTATAAACAAAACTATTCAGGTCCTAAAAGCAATAAAAGTATCAATCGCTATAGTCATAAAAGTACTTATGTTGCTTTGCATGAGGCTAAGATCATAATGGAGACTGTACCTTGACATCCGAAATAAATGGAGCAGGTTTGAGTGTCACAGAACACTGAGTTCGGGATAGCAGGATGGGTGGAGGAGGGATTCTGCTTTTCTTTCTTTTTGAGCATTCCAAATATTTCTGATATGAATACAGGGCATTTTGTTCTGCTTCGCTCTTCTCAATTAAAGAATATGCTTCCTATAATGAGATGTGAAAACAGAAAAATACATTTCAAGAGCTTGAACTTCATTTATATTTGCAGACTTCTGATGGTGTTAAGCAACATTCTTTCTATATGCAGTTTCTTGAGCCTCAGAGGTGTGTGTGTGTGTGTGTGTGTGTGTGTGTGTGTGTGTGTGTACCAGTTATTGAATGATTTTGCAGAAGTAAAAGATGGCTACTAAATCAGGCTGAGCACGATCACCAATGGCATCATATTTATATGTCTAATATGTTTATCATATTATTAATACCTTATATTAATATGGGGCATTTCATTTTTAAATCAAACCCTCTGAATATCTACCATCATATTTCATTGTTCTTAAAAAGTTCGTAACACAATCAACCGCATTTATACTGATGAGCTATATACCTACCCTTAATTCAGCTTGAGGTGTGACTCTCAACTAATGAGACTTGGTATATGTGGTTTAGGAAATTAATATGACTGAGAGTTTCTTACTATCAGCAAGAACAAATAAATAGATTAAAACCACATTCTATGAACTTTAAGGACAGACAGGCAAGTTTTTTTTAGTTTTTTTGTAAGTTTATTATTATTGTAAGTATAGATAAAAACCATTTTTTTATTTCAAAATGTTACATGGGTACAAATTTTTTTTTGTTTACATAGATCACTTTTGTAATGCTTGAGTCATGGTAATAAGTGTGGCCATCAAGAAGCAAGAAACTTGAACACAGGAATAATAACGGAAGAAACTGGAACAAGTATCCAAAAATTATTTCACACAAAAATGTTAGGCTGAAATGATCTCATAAACAAAATATTTTAAATCTCAAAGAACTGATAACTCCTATGCCATTTAAACATTTCCAACTACAGAGAGAAATAGATGTCTTCTCAAATAATTTTATAAACCTATTATAACTTTAATAAAATCTGAAAATTGACATAGAGCAATCATCTTACTAATATAAATGCAAACATCCTAAATAAAATACTAATAATACATTGACTCTAGGCCAGGTGCGGTGGCTCATGCCTGTAATCTTAGCACTCTGGGAGGCCGAGGCGGGTGGATCGCTCAAGATCAGAAGTTCGAGACCAGCCTGAGCAAGAGTGAGACCCCGTCTCTACCAAAAAATAGAAAAGAAATTATCTGGACAACTAAAAATATATATATATATAGAAAAAATTAGCCGGGCATGGTGGCACATGCCCGTAGTCCCAGCTACTCGGGAGGCTGAGGCAGAAGGATTGCTTGAGCCCAGGAGTTTGAGGTTGCTGTGAGCTAGGCTGACGCCACAGCACTCACTCTAGCCAGGGCAACAAAGTGAGACTCTGTCTCAAAAAAAAAAAAAAAAAAAATACATTGACTCTAAAGATACATTAAAGAAATAATGGACTGTGATCATATTGTCTTTCTCCCAGGAATGCAAGGATAATTTAATATTAGGAAGTATGTGAGTATAATTTAATATGTCCATAAATCAAGTGAGAAAAAATATGATCATAGTGTTCAATGGCCAAAAAGATATTTGAGCATTTTTTAACATTCATTACTGATTTTTTTTAAAAAACTGAATAAACTAGAAAAGCTCTTTTTCACCATTACTAAAAAATATTGATTTTAGTGAATAGCCACAATGTTATTAATAGAACAGAAATGGCACTCAGTGCTAATAGTGAAGCACTAATAGAATTATCAATAAAATCCAGAAAGAGACAGAATGCCTCTATTCCATTTTATTCTGGAAGTTTTAGTCAATTTAAAAATACAAGAGAAGAAATTCTGGAAATAAGACAACATGTCTGTCTGCCAAATTTAAACACATTTCACTCTGACACAAAAACCTGTGCTGTATGCCATACAGGAGACATGTTGAGATTTTGAAGTTTGGAAATCTGGACCTCGAGCTCAAAAGGGAAGGTGAGAGTGGATGGAGATAGGATCTGGGTATGCATGAAAGTGATGTTTAAAGCTGAGTGAGTACACGCTTGTACACACTCTCTGTGGGAGTGGAGATTATAAAACTATAATGTAATACATTTTTCCCTAAAATAATGAAGCTTGGCCTAAATTGAGATCAGAATCAATACCTCATTTTTATTTTTTATTGGAAATGGTTGACATTAAGGTCCAAAATCATTTATCTGTGGTGAAAAATGTTTTTTTTAATTCCAGTTGTTCTGTGCTAGGAGACCTTGGGAAATGTTTCTGCATACGCAGGTCGAGAATCTCAGCCATCTGCAAGGACAATCGTTCCTTCATGGGGGAAGGGATGTCTTATGTAGCAACCATGCTTCTAGAGCCTACATTCCAAAGACCTTAGGTATTTAGCCCAAAAGCTAATTTATATACATACAATTTATATTATGTATTACCTATGTACATGACTTTCCACATCCTCTAAACAATGAGTGTCTTGTTGGCAAGGACAGTGCTTTATTTATCTCTTTAGTTTCAGTCGAAGTGTTTTGAATGAAAGATGTGAAATTATGACAGAGGAGGGTGATCTTTACTATAATGCATTTTAAGAGAGCATGTTTAAAATGTTCTGATTCAGTGTTGATCCATTTTAACTTTAGACCCCTAATTCAGATCCCATGGCCCAATTTGAAATAGGCTGACAGAAGTACTAAAGTTTTCAGTGAAAGCTAACAAAAGAAAAGTCTATAACAAAGTCCTTGATTTAAGTAAATCAGATAAATTCTATAACAGAACTCAAGGAAAATTCTAATGCTAATTAGAATCCTAACTTAGTGAGCCAATGCACTGAGCTGCTAATAAGATTCCATTTTTTAAGAGGGTTCCTCAACTAGAAAGGAGGAAATAAAATCAGAAAAGAAGCCCCCAAAAAATTAGGAAGGAAAAATTCTCATTAAACCAACTCAACTCAATTGCGAAAAAATGTTATCACTTTTCAAGTGGTAACAAGTGTTATGAACTTGAATGTGGTCTATAACAGCAATGCTCTAGAATACCAAGGTATTACAATTGCAAAATCTAGACAAACCATTCTCTAATTGAAGATCAAGAAGAAGCAGGTTTTACATGATGTATCAGATAATATAAAATATATACTCACATCCTCCACTGTCTAGCCCAGCACCTGGCAAATTAGAAGAATTGAAATTGAAAGAAGGAATGAGCCTTTACCTATCATAGAGAAAGATCAAGAAACCTCAACAGAAAGGGAATTCTATGCTAATTCACAATGGAAATAAGTTCTGAATGTTCTTTCAATGGTGATTTGTGCTGCAATGTGCCACAATCAACAGTACTGAAATCCAAAGTATTTTTGTCTGAATGTAAATTTCTCTGCCTATAGTTTACATTAGAGAAAATAAGATCCACCTTTCTTCAGAAGTTACACAATGCTTATGAGGACAGATTGATGTTAAATACATTTGACACAGGCTTGACACCCACAGTGCAGCGAAAGACTAATGGAAAGATAATGTAATCTCGAGGCATGATTAAGACATACGTAAACAACTATCATAAGACTGGAATGATAAAGTATCATACTTATTACTCATCTAATAGACCTCCCTGAGGTATATTCTCAGTTCTCAACATTATAATATACATAGCAGAAGAAGATGAAAAGTAGATTAACTCACATCCAAGAATACTGGGAAGGAATATTGTTGAAAACAAAATATACAATTTACAGGACAAATCTAAGAGAAAACAGAAAGAAATGCATAGTCTGATAGAGAAAAATATATATAAAGCACCAAAAGAGTTCAAATAGAATGTTCCAGAGCACTAAAAGTGAAAGAGTAGTTCTGATAAGACACAACAGAATGTTCCAGAGTGCTAAAAGTGAAAGAATAATAATAATAATGGCTAACATTTATTGACTGCTTACTTTGTTCCAAACACTAAGCATTTTGTACACATCATTGCATTGAATCTTCCTAATGAACCCCATTTTAAAGATGAAGAAATTAAAATTTAAGAGAGCATAAATAACTTGACTTAGGTTGTACAGCTAATCGGTGGCAGACCCAGAACTTTAATCCAGACCCTTACGCTCCTAACCACTGTGCTATTTTGTCTCAATACAGAGCTAAGTTAAAAGAAGCATGAAAAGGCAACCTAGATGAAATTTCCTATGCAATACCCTTAAAATACATAAAGGGGGAAAAAACATATCCATGTAATAAAACTTCACTTGTATTGATTAAATATATTGAAAAAAATATATATATGTATATATTCCTGCCTTTACCATCTAAAATGTAAACATGCTAAAATCTTCTGTCAGTATTTTGAAGCCTGGGGGTGAAAATATGACCTCATAGGAGGGGATCAGAATTGGAAAGAGTTTGCTCTTTTATAAGGAATAATTAAGCACAGAACAATTAAAAAGAGCTGAGAGGATCTCTGCAAAAAAAAAAAAAAAATAGTTCATATGTATTCTTCCCCCCTTCACAAAAAAAGCAAATAGAATTGATTTGACTGAAATGCTACAAAACAGGAAAAATAATTAAATCCAATTACTGTTAACCTGGTTAATAGACTGGTATTTAGGGGACATCAAGATGTAAATTCAGGAAATATTAAAGCCAGGTGTTATTAGAACTTCTAGTATCCCTGGGCTTCTTTATTAGTTCTGGTTCCAAAATGGGGCCATACAGTTAGATTCTGCATCGATTACAAAAAATAATCTGCTAAACCATAATACTCCTTTTCTTAGAGTTGAGGCACTGTTAGTGGAATTTGGAAGTACTAAAATCATCTCAGCTACAGATTTCTTTAGTTTCCAACAAACAGTATTAGGAGAAAACTAGATGCAACAATTGGGTTTCTTTGCAACAGAAACAACTGGAAAGCCAGGCTTGGACCAAAGCAACCCCAGAGAGGTAGGAGGGTCTGCAGACTCTGGTCAGAACACACACATCGAATGAATGAATCACCAAATATTCTTTCCCTAAAGAAGACAAATAAATTTCTTGTCAGTCATTTTCTACACTGGGCTGTATAAAACTGTCATAGTCTTTTTATCCCTCTATTGAAGATACAGATTCCACGGAGGGAACAAACAACTGGCCTACCGGGCGTCACTAGTCTTCCTCCTGAGAACTAGTACCACCTGATTATATTTAATGGGGAAGGAAAAGTTCCTCAAAAGGTGTGGCTTGGAAGGGGAAATGGACGCTGTACAGTAAACAACGGTAATCAATGCTGCCTTGAAACTCTAGGGACTTGTATTGAGGAGCATTTCTGCCTCTTTCCAACGAGAAATTTCATCTGCAAAGAGGCTGAATGTTCAGCCCACAGACTCTTAAGTGGACTAAAAGCAACGTCATGATGACTACTATGTCTACTTTGATCTTCAGAAGAAGATCAAAGCCATTCAGTATTGGTTCTAGATGCAATCCGTTTAAAGTAAACCTATGGCATAATGTGTAAAGAGCCAAAATGGACTTCCAGAGGTCAAATAATCAAGACAGGAAAATGGAAAAACTAAACCCCATAATCAAAAAAAAGCCAGTCATTTCACTTAGAAAGCTAGTAAGCTATTATCAAAGATTTGTCCCTCGTTCATAGCAGCAAGTTGGTTCATTTTAGTTGACTAGAAATAAAGACGTTTGATTAGATTATTTGAATCCACAGAGTCGGGAAATTTTTGAAAAACTTGAACAGAGTATGAATTACTTAAGAGTTCTGAAAAGACCCAGGCTTTTCAAACCTTTTTATGATATCAGGTGACACATCAATTACTGATTTGGGGATAATTTTATTACAAGATCATGATATTGTAAAACATTCTGTAATACACCCCAGTTGAAAATGACTGCCAAGGGAAAGAAATTTATTTGTCTTCTTTAAAGAAAGAAAGTTTGGCAATTATTTGAGCCATAATATCACTGTTTAGGAGAGTACCCTGAGGACTGATCATTAAGCCTTAACACTTGGATACAAACAACCACTGAGGAGCAGAGGTGGCTATAGAAGATTTCAGGAAAATAAATATTCAACACGGTCCTAGCTAGTGAAAATGCTTGTAGAGGACCCGTCATAAAAAGTAGAACTTCTAAATGTATCTCATGAGTCTACCCTAACAGGACATTATACTCATCATTTTTTTGAAGTTAAAATAGTTTCACTTTAAAAAAAATAGAAAGAAAAGATATGCAATGGAAACATGAGACTTCCCACATCTCCAGAACGTCCCCAGTCTCGGTGGTAGGGAGGTAGAGACATACAAGGGGATGGGCATGCTGTGGTAGAATAAAGACAGCATTCAGTCATAATAAAACAAAGGGAAAACTCCAGAGGTTTTGCTCTCTTCAGGCTTTGAGAGGCCCCAAGATTAGTCCTGAGATCAATATTTTTTTTTATGTCTGGTAATTCATATACTTTTTTTATTCTGAAATATTAAGGGGTACAAATGTTTTAGGTTACATGGATCACTTTTGTAATGCTTGAGTCATTGCTATAGGTGTGGCCATCACCCAAATAGTGTTCATTGTACCTGTTAGGTAGGTTTCTGCCCCTCCCCTCCTCCCCCTTCCCCCCTGCTTGATTTCCAATGACTTTTACTTCCCTCTGTGCACATGTGTGCTCATCGGTTACTTCCAATTTAATAGTGAGTACATGTGGAGTTTGTTTTTCCATTTTTTAGATATTTAACTTAGGATAATAATCTCCAGTTCCATCCAAATTGTTGCAAAAGGCATTAACTCATCCTTTTTATGGCTGAGTAGTATTCCATGGTGTATATATAAATTTTTTTAATCTACTCATGAATTGATGGGCATTTGGGTTGATTCCACATCTTTGCGATTGTGAATTTTGTTGCAATAAACATTCAAGTGCAGGTGTCTTTTTGGTAAAAACTTCTTTTCCCTTGGAAAGATATCCAGTAGTGGGATTGTTAGATCAAATGGTAGGTCTACTTTTAGTTCTTTGAGGAATCTCCATACTGTTTTCCATAGAGGTTGTATTAATGTGCAGTCCCACCAATAGTGTATAAATGTTCCTTTCTCTCTGTATCCACACCAGCATCTATTGTTTTTGGACTTTTTAATAAAAGCCATTCGAACTGCAGTAAGGTGCTATCTCATTGTGGTTTTAATTTGCATTTCCCTGATTAGTGACGCTGAGCATTTTTTCATGTTTATTGGCCATTTGTCTATCTTCTCTTGAAAAGCTTCTGATCATGTGTTTTGCCTACTTTTTAATGGGGTTGTTTGTTTTTTTCTTGCTGATTTGCTAGAGTTCTTTGTAGATTGTGAATATTAGCCCTTTACCTGCATCTTCAGTGCAATTTTTTTTTTTTTTAACAACTTGAGCATTTTTTATTCTGCATTTTGGAGTCTCCTTGTCCCCACACCCCTACTGGCAGGTTTTGCCCAGGGCGGTCAGTCACTGTCCTGGCCACTGACAATCCCCTTTGCTGAATGAGCTGTCACACCTTAAACTCCCTACATTGTGGGCACACAGCCCCCAACCCCGTGCCCCCTGTTGGAGGCCAGCACCCTCTGTGCTGGTGCCAGGCGGTCAGCAGCCCACTAGCAGGAGCTCCTCTGTGGCCAGGCACATCAGGGCATGGAAGCTCAGGTGCAGGTACTTTCTCCAGAAACAACAGTCCCGCGCATACACCTGGGCTGGGCAGCAGGGGCTTCCAATGCCGTGGAAGATGTGGGCCACAGCCCTGCCTGAGAACTTCTCCTCTGGCCACAGGGACAGAAGCTGGTGGATGTCGCGGCGGATCTGGTCCTCCCAGTCCTGGAGCATAGCTTGCCCCAGCTCTGGGCCCTGCTCATCCCCCATGGCCTCCGGCCCCTGTGCCTCCTCTGCCTCTTCTTCAAAGTGGCAGCCAAGCAGGGCCTTGAGCTTGGTGCTCTGCTCCTCACTGGGCTGCTCCAGGCAGGGCCCGCAGCTGGGGAAGGCCATGCTGTGAAAGGCCCGGAAGTTTCGGTGTAGATGGGTCAAGGCCTCACTCTCCCAGGCCTACACACAGCCATACAGGAAGTCACAGATCTGGTCCCTCTTCTCGGCTGTTAGGTCCCCAGGGCTGCGAAGGTGGAAGGCCAGCTCCTGGAACTCTACAAGCACCCCCGTGCCCCGTGGCACGCCTGTCCTGGGCTCTTGGTCCCACTGCAGCTGGCGGAGAGCTCGTCGCACAGAGGCCAGCTCCCAGCCCATCGAGTCTGCCAGCTCTACCATGTCAAACTCCATGGACCTGCTATCCCACCTTGTGTCCTCAGGTGGCTGCCGAGCCAAGCACACAGCCAAAGGGGGACACCTGTGGGCCAGAACCTGGAGCTCGGTGGGCCCCCCAGGGCAGCGCAGATGGCAATGGGCATAGGTGGTAGGCAGTAGCTCCAGCCAGCACCGCGGGTGCAGCTCCAGGTAGCACAGCAGCGTCTCAATGGCCTTCTCCGGCAGGTCCAGGGCCTGCACTGTTGGCTGCACTGGGAGCAGTGGGGCTTCTCCCCAGTCCAACCATCCACCCTCACCCTACAATGATGGCAGATATCTTTGTCTCCTACTTTATCAGATTATTGAAACAAGAAGGCATCAACTCAACTCTCTGCCTCCACACCAACAAACTTTTTATATCTACATCGGTCCTCCTGCCTTTCTGTATCAAAGGATGAAATATGTCTTCCCTGCAGCCTACTTTCCATTGAAGATGAATCCTTTCAGTCTCTTCCCTCTTCTACAGGACTTTGCTCTATGTGTTAGCCTCTCCCTCTTACATTTGCAATTTCTCTCTTTGTTCTGGCACTTTATCTTTAGCATACTAATGTGCTAAATTTTCTCTCTTAAACCCCTCTTAATTTCATATACACTCCCTAGCTTTAACCTACTTTTTTCCTTCTTTGATTAGCCAAGCCACTTGTAGCATTATTCTCTACATCTTCATATGCTATTCACTTAGCCAATGCAATCAACTTTTGTAGGTCACATGTAGGGGCAAAAAGAAAGATCCCATAATTTGAAACATGATTGCTGTCAGAAAGTTAAACTCTAAAATCAACATAAAATTAATCAGCAAGAAGACAAAACAATTTCCAGGCCAGAGTAAGACTTGATTAAAGATATCAAGGGGATTTGTCCATAAATTAGCAGTAACCATCTGAGAAAGCAGGTACCTTAGCCAACTGGGCTTTAAGCATTTTAATTCCATATTAAGAAATGCATTAGGATGGTACAGTGTCACTCCAATTCTGTAATTTCCCTTATTTTGAGTCCTTCTGATTTTATTTAGCTTCCCATGTAGGTTGCATGGGGTCCCCACAGAGACTCTTCCATTTCAGGAGCATTCAGGACTAGAGGTACAGATTAATTCCCCTGCTTAGGCTGGACTACATAAGTTCATAACTGATGTTTAGGGCAACACACTATTTTTAACAAAGGGAAATAAATCATTCATTTTAACGGAAGTTGTAATTCAGGACTAAAAGAAGAAATGAAATATTGTTACCATCAAAAACTTCCATGAAGATGTAGAGGGTGCATCTTTTTCAAATATTATAAGAGCTTTCTCCATTAAGTAAATAGCTTTGGATAGTTTATTCTTCTTTATTTTATTCATTACACTCAATTCTGCAAAATCAAACAAATATTTTACCAAAAGGGCAAGGTAAAAACTATCTTTCAAATTTTTTGGAAATACCAGTTATCTCAGTTATCTCAATTTTAATTACCTGTAAAACAATCAATGCTTCCAGATTGTTTTAATTGTTCTGGACCTTTGGTTGGAATGTTTTTACTAACAGTTGGAGTCTGCAAAACTGAAGAAAAAGAAGAAGACTATCATCACAATTAGGTTTGCATCCAAGACAGGAAGTATTTTTTAAACATTAAAGAGCAACTATTTTTAAAATTATTAATACTCTATCCTATATCCTTTTTCATTAATAAATAAAATTTCAAATATAAATCTACTATGATGCAATTTTATTATCAAATCTTCTTTTGTTTGCTACAGTATACCTCAGGATGTAAGAATTTCCAAATTATAAAATATTTGCTTTTCTATTTCATCTTAAATAAAATCATCTTGAAGATTGATAAATAGGGTCCAATCTACTTTTGTTCACTTTACCTAATATAGTATAGATGGCAAGTCCTAATACCAATAAACTGTCAAGACTCTGCCCTCAGCCCTTTCTAGAGAAGCTATTTCATCCATGGTCCTTGCAAGAGCTCTGGCTACCACATGGCTACCACTCTCCCCCACATGTGGCCAATGAAATGAGAGCCTCTCTCAAGATTTTCAACTAAAACATGAACTGTTCCAGTTGTTGATACTGGTATACAATTGGGACTGACCATCATGGTGGTCCACTAAAGAGAGAAACTTGGATAAACGACAAAAAATAAAGCTATGATATCCCAGGGAGATGAAAACTGTAGCACTGATTCTCGATTTTCAGGTGTGGTCCTCAAGATGTAACAGAGGTAAAGGCCTGAGAAAGAGTGAAATGGTTTACCAAATCATAAGGGTAGAGGAATGTTCTTTGTTCTTTGTTTCTAGTATCTTAAACCATAGGAGATGGCTTAAGGGAACAGAGGTCACAGAGATCATCTTCACTGGAGATGCTATAGTTGAACAGCAATAGCCAAAAGCTGAAACCCCCCTTTTAAAAGCTCTGTATTTCTGCTGAAGGAAGGACGATGATTGTTTAAGATGAGAGTCTACCATCCTCCTCATTTGCTGGCAAATTAATAAACTTCTCTTTCCTTTTCTTCAAACTGCTTTTCTTCATTTGTTTGGCTGGCCACAGGAACAAGTGACAATGTCGGTAACAAAGAGGCCTGGTAATATTTTGTTTCTGTCCTTGGGGGTATGTGAAGGTGACTATAGAAACATTACAACATATCCCTTTTCCCAAGTTTTAATTATCTGTGCTAATGCATGTGAGTCACCATAGGATGGCAATTGAGAAAAAGATGCCAGCAGACATCATTAAAGGATATAAGGGTTCTTTAATGGCAAACGGTAAGAAAACTTATCTGCATGGAGACAGCAATGCAAAGCAGAAAATAATGCCTCATTCCTTCAGTACCTAGCACTTTGTAAATGCTACTTAAGCTCTCCTGATTCTAATCATTGGAGATAGGAAGGATGAGATCAGCTGGGCGCGGTGGCTCACGCCTGTAATCCTAGCACTCTGGGAGGCCGAGGCGGGTGGATCGCTCAAGGTCAGGAGTTCGAGACCAGCCTGAGAAAGAGC